CGTTCTCGCAAGCTGGGGGCTTCCAAGCAAGAATACACGCACAAGGCAGGCAGGCTAGCCTTTTGTACACTTGTCCATCTCGAGCGGGGGCTAGATCCGAATCAGACAAAAAAAAGCCCCACCCAGTCCGAGTCAAAAAGAAATCTATGACATCGTTTCATTTCACTCTTTTCAGCCACAACCAGGGTAGCATAACACTTTGAGAAAAAAAAGGGGGGACCGACCAACCAATTCCATCCGTTCCCTTTCGATCATCGAGCCCATTCGGAACATTTAGCAAAGCAAGAGTCGGTGCGAGATCGCAGGGAGGGTGAAGAAGGGGCTCGGTGCAGAAATATAGAGAGATGGACGAGCCTGCCTAGTGCTCGATGAGGAGTACCAGATCTCCGCCAGCGACCGAGTCGTTCTGCTTGACGGCGATGCGGCTGACCTTTCCGCTGACTGGGGCAGAGATGTTGGTCTCCATCTTCATGGCGCTGAGGATGGCCAAAGGGTCTCCCTGCTTGACTTGCTGACCCTCCTTCACTCTGATTTCGATGATGACACCGGAAATGGGAGAGCCGATAGAGCCGGGGTTCTTGCTGTCCGCCTTCTCCCTCGTCTCGTGCTCGACTGCTGCACTCTTGTCGTCGATGGTCAGCACACGAGACTCTCCGTTGAGCTCCATGAAGACGTCTCGAGTGCCCTTGTCGCTGACGGCACCAACGGCCAGGAGCTTGACGATGAGCATCTTACCGCTCTCGATAAACACTTGGATTTCCTCGTTGACGTCTGGCTTGCCGCAGAAGAATCTGGTGGGCACGGTTGACAGATCGCCGTAGTTTTCCAAAAAGTCTTGGTACTCTTCAAACACCTTGGGATAAAGGGCGTGGGAGATTGCGTCGCAAGTAGACATTGTCTTGCCGTACTTCTTTGTCAATTCCTTCTTGATGGCAGACAGGTCGACAGGCTTGAGGCCCGCACCTGGTCGGCCTTCGATCACAGGTCGACCACGCAGCAGCTTCGTTCGGAATTCGGGGAAGCCACCAGGCGGGACACCGAGGCGGCCCTCAAAGTACTCGTAGACGCTAGAGGGCAGATCGAGCTTGTCGACCTTCTCAATAAACTCTTGAGGGGTCAGCTTATTAGCGACGAGGAATTGTGCAAGGTCGCCGCACACTTTGGAGGAGGGCGTGACCTTGACGATATCACCGAGGAGCTTGTTTGCCTGAATGTATGCGTCCTTGATGGCATTCCATTGCGATCCAAGACCGAGCTGCTGGCTTTGGAACATCTGCAGAAGTGAAAGACAACATGATCAGCAAGGGTACGACATGGGTTCACAAAAGCTCGCACTCACCAAGTTGGTGTACTGTCCACCAGGCATCTCGTGGTCAAAGACGGAAGAGTCGGAAGCCTTGACGTTGGCCTCGAAGCACGAGTACAATTGACGGACTTGAGTCCAGTACAGGTTCAGGTTCTGGATGTCCTCGTGACGAATGCCTGGTCCGAGGCCGGTCTGCTCGAGAGCGCTGACGAGAGCGCCCATAGAAGGTTGAGATGTGAGACCTGACATGGAGTCGATGGCGACATCGACAACATCTGCGCCGGCCTCTGCACATGCAATCATGGATGCCAGGGCAATACCAGCCGTGTCGTGCGAGTGCACATGGATGGGGAGATCAGGGTACTTTTTGCGGATGGCGCCGACCAGCATGCGCGCAGCAGCGGGCTTGAGAAGACCAGCCATGTCCTTGATACCCAAAATGTGGATGCCAACCTTGACGAGTTCGTCGGTGAGGTTGAGGTAGTACTCGAGTGTGTACTTGGGATGCTTCTTGGGATTGGCCACGTCACCAGTGTAGCAGATGGTGCCTTCGGCAACACCACCAGCCTTCTTGGCTGCATCGATACCCAACCTGAGACTGTCGAGGTTGTTGAGCGAGTCAAAGACACGGAAAATGTCAAGACCATTCTCGACTGCCTTCTTGCTGAACTCGTAGATCAGGTTGTCGGGATAAGAAGTATATCCGACAGCATTGGCACCACGAATAAGAGCCTGGAAAGGAATGTTTGGCACCAGCTTTCGCAGCTTGCGCAGACGCTCCCAAGGGTCCTCGTAGAGGAAACGCATGGCGACATCAAAGGTAGCGCCACCCCAGCATTCCAACGAGAAGGCGTTCTTGAGGACGTGACTGGTCTCCTTGGCAATGTTGACCATGTCGATGGTGCGCAGACGCGTAGCAAAGAGACTTTGGTGTGCGTCACGCCAAGTTGTGTCCATGATCAGTGTGCCATTGTAGGAGCGCACTGCCTTTGCGAAAGCCTCGGGGCCTTCGTTGACGATGATGTTGCGCCAGCCCTCGAGGCAGGGCTTGCTCGCATCGAGCGGCTTGCTAGCGTCCTTGGGGTCCGTAAAGGGGGGCTTCTCGATTTCCGTCTTGAGTCCGGGCTCGCCAACCTGACCCAGCAGTGGGGAGCCGTTGACCGCCATGTCACCGAGGTATGCGAGCAGCTTTTGAGCACGATTCTTGCTTTGGACCAAGTTGAAGAGCTCGGGGGTGTCGTCGATCATGGTGGTCCATGTTCGTGCTTCAGCGAAAGCGTCGTGAGTGAGCAGGCGGAAGAGGAAGGGAATGTTGGTCTTGACTCCACGGATGCGGAACTCGACGAGAGCTCGCAGCATCTTGCGGCGAGTCACTTCATAAGTCGCACCACGGCAAGTGACTTTGACCAGCAGCGAGTCGTAGTGCGGGGTGATCTGCGCACCTGCAAAGCCAGAGCTGGCGTCGAGACGCACACCATTGCCTCCAGCAGAGCGATACACTTCGATACGACCCGTGTCGGGAGCGAATCCAACAGAGGGATCCTCGGTCGTGATACGACACTGGATAGCAGAGCCACGCTTTTGGATCGTCGCCTGGGTCAGGCCGAGATCTGCCAGGGTGGCACCTGCAGCAATTTGAATCTGAGCGCCGACAATGTCAATGCCAGTGATCTCTTCCGTGATGGTATGCTCAACTTGCAGACGAGGGTTGATCTCGATGAAGTAGTGTCTGTTCTGTTGGTCGACCAAGAACTCTGCAGTACCAGCGTTGCGGTAGTTTGCAGTTCTGGCGAGCTTGACAGCGTCAGAAAGGATAGCCTGACGGGTCTCATCTACCAAGTTGCTTGCAGGCGCAACCTCGACGACCTTTTGATGACGACGTTGGACGGAGCAATCACGCTCAAAGAGGTGCACGACATTTCCTTCTCCATCTGCGAGGAGTTGCACCTCGATGTGGCGAGGCCTGTCGAGGAAGCGCTCGATGAAGACAGTGGGGTCTCCGAAAGCAGACTTGGCCTCCGACTTCGCCCGCGAGAAGGCCTCTTCGAATTCTTCCTGCTTGCGGACAACACGCATACCACGACCACCACCGCCCATCGCAGCCTTGATGATGACTGGGAAGCCGACTTCCTTGACGAATTCAGCAGCCTCGCGGTAGTCCTCAATGGGCCCGGGGGTTCCAGGTACAATGGGTACACCAGCCTTGCGAGCAAGATCACGAGCCTTCGTCTTGTCGCCAAGCCCATCGATGGTCTCCGGGCGAGGGCCAATAAATGCGATACCAGCATCCTCCACAGCCTTGGCGAATGCGGGGTTTTCGGACAAGAAACCGTAGCCAGGGCTACAAGCGCGGAGTGCTCGTCAGCAGGCTTGCCAAGCTATGAGATGGGACCTTGACGGGTTGCACTCACTGGATCATGTCTACGCCGTGCTCAAGAGCAATGCGAATGATATCCTCGATGGCGAGGTACGCCTGCACTGGGGAAAGACCTGCACCGACTTGGTATGCCTCATCTGCCTGGAACATCAAAGGCGAGAGGTACAGCACCAAATTAGGAAGTGCAATTTGAGCCGGACCCGGTACGTAAGAGACGCACCTTGTATCTGTGGGCGCTGTAGCGATCCTCGAAAGAGTAGATGGCCACAGTGGTCATGGCAAGCTCGTGCGCGCTGCGGACGATACGGATCGAAATTTCCTGTTGAATAAGACCATCGAAGCAAGGCGATAGTCAGCGCCCTGCCCCATTATCGCTCAGCCGCTGGAAAGCAGGCTATTCTAAGGCATTGTTGCGGGTTTCCTTGCGATCCCAAGTAGCCTCACGTCTCGATCAGGCCCATACATATCTACACCGCCTGCTTGCAGCAAACGCCGTCATCTGCCCGCCTCTGCAAGCCCTGGCTCGGGTGCTCAGCTCGCAGTCATTGGCTCAAGTCTGAGTACTTGCCCGCAGCATTGCAAATGGCAGCTCTCGCAAGCCTTTCGCAGGCCTCAGACATCCGAGAACACGCAGAGCGACTACTCACACCGCGGTTAGCAACCATGAGCTTCTTGAGGGGACCACCTGTCGTGTCATTGAGGTTCTTTCTGATGCGGTTGATGGAAGGAAAGACATGTCCGGTTCTGCTTCCTGGGGTACCAGGTTGGGACTCGAAAGTGTCGACGAAGGACGAGCGAGGCACGCCCTGTGGGGCCGTCGCAGTAATAGGTTGCGTCGTCATCGTTGGCACGCAATGCTCGAGATTGCTAGCAATCAGCCGAAGCGGAGTATGTGGGGAGAGATCAGGTACAGAGGATTAATTCGGTGAAGGGCGCACAAGTTGCGCCCGAGAACTGTGATGGACGTTAGGGATGCTGATGATGTCCCAGCGTCGATGTACAGAAGGGCGAAGGGAGACGCCGAGCGAGCGAAGGTGAACTGCAACTCGGCGGGGCGGAGTGATTCGTAATAGATGATGGGTGTGGAGAGCATAAGAAGCTTTGGAGGACGGAGGTTGCTACAATCTCTCTTGATCGAGGGACACGAGGCAGCTGCTCCGCTGGATCGATCGACCGATTGTGAAGTTGCGCTTTGATGCTGGATGGTGCGTGCGTGGGCGCGTGCCTGCCTGCCTGCCTGCCTGCCTG